TGTGCTCATAGCCGACGGGTGACTTGGAGGCTGTTGAGCCCAGGTGTCCAAGTAGGTTCTTGAGGCGTGATGTAGGCCCTGACATGGCTCGAGACGACGGAACGGAGCTAAGTGGTAGTGAAACGGTGACGTGAAGTAACTACTCCTTTCTCCGAGGGACTTAGAGGGTGTCTCAAGTAAATATCACTCTTTGGGTTCCTCGAGTTGACTGCCCTGGGAGCGTAGTCAGTAAGCTGCAGTGCCAAGGTTACAGCGAGTACTACATACCTACCTGGTATGTAGGTATGTAGGTATGTATATATGTTACGTACCTACTTCTAAGCAGGTAGACGAAGGACGGGAACTCCGCAATATAAGTAGGTAACCTTAAGTAGCAAGATCGGGTGGGGGATCCGTCCCTGAGACACAAGATCCCCCAACCGATGCGGGGAAAAGAGTGTCCACAGGACGGGCAGACGGGTGAGTGTTACAACGGCGTCTAGTCTAGTAGGTACTATATATGGAGAGAGATGGATACGAATAGCTCTCCTTCATAGCTGAATATCTGTTACGTCCAAAGACACGGCCGAGGTCAAGTCAAACGTAGGCAATTGCCCGAGCGTTGATTCCGTTCGCCTTGTCCACTCACTTCACATGCACACATCACCGAGCAGCTCCACCCGGGAAAACCGAATACTCTGTTCCCGTTCACAACCTAGACTACTATTCTCACAACGTGGATTTCGGAGTAAGGAATAGCTTGTCCTGTGGCACTCACTCTTTCTGACGCATACGGGGTATACGGGGTATACGCATCCAATCCAAGAACCCTTGCGCCGAGCTGAGCCAGCCATCAATTAGTACTTACTGCAAGTGATTTGTCAGGAATCCCCTGGTCGCCGGGGAATCATTTCTACTCTACTCCTTTATTTAGAAGACGAAGTCTCTCGAGGGTGAAAGTATCCCCTCAAGCACTCAACATCTAGGTAGGTAGGGCCAGGTACTTCCTAGCGTTCTTGGGACATCATACGCCACTCATAAGCGATACCCGGACTGTTAGCTAGTTAGTGCATATGGAGAGGGCGGTGGGAATGTGACATCCATCCATGGATCATCTCCGCCAAACACGCTGACTGACGGAGGGCACGGGCACGGGTGTTGACGAACGAGCATGCGAGATATAGACAGTACGATACTCGGTATGTAGACGGAAGGGTAAACTCATAAAGTGCCTAACATACATTTCTCACCTTATCTATATATGCACTAACTTGCCTAAAATACGACGTATAGACTACCTCTCAAGATCATACTGTAATATTATGGATGGTTGCCTTTTGTAATTTGTATCACATAAAAATAATAATAACCTAATAAGGCGAGAAAGAATAATAAAGGGCGAGGCTTTTGCGCAGGCTTTAATAATAATAAAAGCTCGATATTAGCGTGTATTTTAGGTTTATTTTAAGTTATAATTAAACGATTTATATAAATTTATCTTTAAATAGCTTATTAAACGAAAAAACTTACGACGTTATAAAATTTTAATTTTTAAGGTTTAAATTATAAAAAAATAAGTTATTTAATTATAAGCGATAAATTATATAAAGCTTATTATAAACTTAAAATTAAAACTTTTAAAGTTATTTTTTTTCCCACGTTATATTTATTTTTTATATTTAGCTTAATATTAAATAAATTATTTATTGCGTAGCTCGTAAATATATTATAAATAAATGATTTAATAATTATAAATATATTTTTTATTAACTTAAAATAATAACGATATTTTTTTTAAAAAAAAAGAAAAAGAATTTAATAATTAAAACGTTATTATAGCCTTTATAGCCTTTTTAATATAATTATATTAAAAATAAGCGTAAATCGACCGTTTATATGCTAAAAAAAGCTGAAAACATGGCGTTTTCTGATGGAGCAAAAAAGCAACAAAAGAAGTTTGCCAATGCGAGGGCGATCACACCGTAAAAAGCTGAATCACCCCGGCATCTGGAGCATAACGCCTAACCTCAGGTATCTCGCAATCAACAAGAGAGCGTGCATTCTGGGCCCTTCAAGTACTACAACGAGTAATCCCCTTAAGTCTTGCTCTTCCTCCCTATCACCCTCCAGACCCCCTTCTCGGGTTCTCCCACGGGTCCCCTTTCAATGCAATCCTCAAGAAGAGTGGAAGTATCGACACGAACAAAGCACCAGGTTCCAACGCCGCCGCCGCCACCACTACCGTATTCGAGAAAAAGCGCATCTATCAATATACACTAGGAAGAAAAAGGGGGCAATGACAATACTGTAGAGAATATACACAGGCGGCATTGATGGGAGGCAATGCGAGACCTTCCCTCCTTTTTTTTTTTTTTGGCGAACCATCAGAATCCACCATCAGAATCCGTCTTCCGTCAGATGCCGGTCTCCCATTCATGGGATATTCATCGGTCGATTGGGAAACTTTCTAGATAATTCGTTGATCGCCTGAATAAAACAACAAACCACTCCAATAAAACAGGTGGTTGACTGCCTTACTTTCTACCCCCGACCAGATTCGAAGACTCGCCATCGCCTTCGTCATCACTGAACTTATCTCCGTCCTCACCGACGGCGAAGATGGTCTCTCCATCGAACGAGTCCCTCGGCGACTCCAGCTTGGCCGGTGCCCTGCTCTGGGACGCAGATGGATTCGAGCTCAAGGGCCCACCGGCCGCTGAGCTCGAGCGATTGTGTTGTGTAGGTTTGGTGCCGATACTGGCTTCCTCATCATCGTCCGAGTCATCTGGTGCACCAACGTCGGCGAACTCGAAGCCGCCATCCTCGTCTTGGGCGATCTCGTCACTCATCGCAAATCGTTTGTTGTTTGCCGTTGGCCTCCACACGTACGCGACCCAGGCCACGTCGGCGAAGTAGACCAGGTTCAACCACCCGTCCAGCACGAACCACCGTGACTTCCAATGGAATGGAACGTAGTCGGGATCTGACGCCGAGGCAAATGAGAACGAGTTGAAGAAGAAGAAGCCGAAGATGACGAGGATACTGATGAGGATACACCACCACAGCTTCTTGTACATGGCTTCCTTCGCTGTCTGCTTGCGCTCTCTAAGATCCTTGAGCGTGAAGTTCAGCGAATTGAGAGTCCAGACATAGAAGGCGGTCAAGGTGCCGGCTAAGGGAAGTACAATGAGTAGAACGAAGGGACCTAGCATATACTGTTAGATGGGTTGGCTTCAACTACAGGTCCTAGACGAGACTCACCGGCAGTATCCGGAGAAATCAGCAGACTCGTGATAGCATAGACCAGCCCAAAAACGAAGTGGGCAATCGCCAGCCATCTGACATATACCATGGTCTTGCCTAAAGACGGCTTCACAACTCCATAACCCATACATACGATGAGTAGTAGGAAGAATGAGAATGAGTTACGGAACGCGTTAAGAACGGCAACCAAGACCAAGAGAACCTTAGCTCCAATATTGGACCCATTCCTGTTCAGATAGTCTACATTGATGTCAGTTATCAGTAGCAGACTTGCAGATGACCACCACGACGTACCATAGAAACCCCAAGTCATCAACATCTCGACAACCAGGAACACGAGAATAGCTGTAATGTAGTTCTGAACAGGTACTGCAAGTTGTCAGCTACACATTGACGAAATCAAACAGGTATAGCGGCTTACAGATGTCGTATCTATGTTGATAGTAAAGAAAACCCCAGAACCTGGTCACGGTCAGACTTATCTCCATAATCATGGAAGCGCATGAACGTACACCGCAACAACCGCATAGAGGATCGTTATCCCTCCATAGAACGGAAGCTTGGGGATCTGAGTGGCAGGAAGCTCGCCATACGCCTCACGGTATTCGACGACGCCCATGAAATCCTCCGTGTTGTATCCGTAAGCGGCAACACAGTAATAACCAGTCTTCTTGATAGGATAGTTGATCGGGGGCGCAGACTTCAGGTGTACGGCTTGGGTCAGGATCAGGTTTCCAGACTTCTCTGTTGCGTTGGGCGACAGAATCCATTCGCCAAGGTCTGATTCGTCGCAAAGTCCGGCGTCCACGTTCTCGGGGTCGCATATCAACTCTTTCTATGTGCGGTGTTAATATCGGTTTTGGTTGCGCAGGAATGGTTATTCCATACTTGGAGCGACTCGTCATTGGGATAGACTCCTATCAGTTCCTCGTCCTTCCATTCGAATATAACCAGACTGACGATGGGGTCGTCGTCGCCCTCGGCAGTCTTGTTGGGGAACACCGTGAGTATAAAAGGTTCGTCGGATCCGCCCCAATCGCCCTTTGAGTACATGCCTGGCGGTGAGGGATGAGTAAAAGTCGAAGCAGGATATAGGGGTAAACGTACCGGCGCATTTTTGGCGATTCTCGTCAGTTTGATCCTAAAGGTCATGTCAGTAGCAACATCAGAGCTGTTGAGAAAAGTAGTATCGTACTATTTGGACCTCCAATGCCTGAGTCGTCAACAGGGACGAGCCCAGGAGGAGTAATGCCGATAGCCACTTCATCGTTGGGGTGTAGAAGTTGGGGTGGTTGCCGCGCGAGGGCAGCCTCGTCGGGTAAAACTGGCCACGTTCAGCTCTAAGTAGCACTGTAGCAGCTCCAGGGCTACCCTTACGTATAGGGCTGGACAAGCTTGCAGGGTTTGAGGTCGCGAGAACAGGTTGATGATGGTACGATCAGACCGAAAGAAAAGAAAAGAAAAGCCACAGATTCACTTCTTCCTCTTCTTCTTCGTCGAATTCGGCTGGTCGATGATGTCGAGTAGCAAAAGAAAGTGAATAAGACCCTTGGGTCTAGAAACAGGGGCCGCCTGCAACGTTCTGGATAGCTTGGCACCTGGGCAGCTTGCCGCGCAAGCTGGCGAAACAGAATAAGCAGAATATCCACGGTGCTTAGATAAGATAAGGCTTATTATGGGCCCGGAAAGCCGGCGCCTCAACACCACGGAAATTCACGATACTCTACGCTTGCTAACAGAAAAGATTTTCATCAACAGGTCCCATAGCTCAGCTGGTTAGAGCATCGTACTAATAGTTATTCACAATAACTGTTTGGTAATGCGGAGGTCTACGGTTCGATCCCGTATGGGACCATCTTCCCTTTTTGCCAGTGTTGACTCGCGAGCTAGGAAGTCTTTCTGGTTATTGGAACCCAGCAGGGCGATATTTACCCTTTTTACATGTGTAAGAGCTGAGGCAAGGACTGGGCAGCAATCAAGGGAGCTCTGGGTGCCGTCTTAAAGCAAGTAACAGGCTTGTGACATGATGGGTATTGGTGTATTACGTGCAAGTACACGTGTGGATGTATGCATGACTTCGAGTATCATCAGAAAATGCACTTGATGTATCCTGTTCATGCCCTATCTATTGCAAGGTTGGACCACACACCCTGTCGTCAACTACTCATACTAGAAGAGCTTCCCACTCAGGGATTGGTTTTGATTCTAAGTCGCCGTTCATCTGTCAGGAACCGCAGTCTCTTGATCTCGGTAAGAAGAATACAATCTGGCGGGGTTTTCCCTTCAGGGGCAGCATTACTTGTCACCACCTCGAAACACCGCAAAGCCTTCAAGCATAAGACGAGAGAGTATGTACAGACCGGTGAGTCCAGTTCTATGCGCTTAACGAGCTGTCACTGCTCAAGTTTCCTGATGCTTGAAATATGATTCTGGAGGGATCCTGTAGCGTAGGGGTTCGAGGAAAGTCAGTACATTTAGATTGGGCATCAGAGCTCAAGTGATTCAGTTATAAGGTAGCGAGTGATATGTCAAACACATACCAGCCGCTGTGACTTGGTGGGTTTGTTTTACGGCAAACCACCTGGTCTAAGTTTCGAAGATGAAAAAGCAAGATATTCCTACCCGTCAGGCAATGTAAAATCCATAGATAGAATAGAAATTTCCGAAGTTTCGAATTGGAGATGTTTGTATAACACTCGCAATACCTGGTGCTTGTTGAGTAGCCCGAAATCTCAAGTCTTGGTACTGCATGTCTAATGACACATCCAGCCGAAGCAGTTTTCATATATCAATTCATAATGAACTGTGGTCGCTGATTGTTCTTGTGTTCTTGGAGAACCACGAGGCCTTTGTGCGGGTAGGGCCAAGGGGAGCTCCGGAAGCTTTCCAAATAGTCTCGGCGCCAGAATCAGTGACATCCTATTGGCTACGCAGAGCCTCGGTAGAATTGCAGTATAGATCAGCTGCTAGTGATACATTTCTCAACAAATCATCTGGTCCTATAGCTCAGCTGGTTAGAGCATCGTACTAATAGTTAATTTCTTAACTACCTAGTAATGCGGAGGTCTACGGTTCGATCCCGTATGGGACCACTTCCTTTTTTGCAAATTTCTTCTGCATCATTCCTGGTGATGAAATGGTTTCTAGATAGGAGCCCATCACCAGGCGGAAATTTTTTAAGTGTACGGAGTACAAAGGCACAGAGGTATCCTGAAGGTGGTTTTCAGGGGGTTGCTAGTGCGGCACTAGAAGCCCTGGCCATTTCTTAGCTTGGGCACGTGTCGATATCTACATAGTACTCACTGACATCCAACCTCAGAACTATCTGTGTGGTGAGAAAAAATGGTGTACTCCGTACAAATGGATAATTTAAGGGTAGAGCACGTGGAGTGACGGGGCCTAACTTTATTTTTCCCGGGAGGCTCAAACGTATTACATCAGGGCACAGGTCGATATGATAAGATAAGACACACCCGGACTCTGTACTATCCGTAACAACGTCAACAAAGATCCCTTTCAGCATTGCGACTTTCAAGGCCAGCATCTAATCAGCTTTCTACTGAACCATGGGCAAAGGTACAGACAAGCTCTATATAACCCATTCGGAATGGTCCTCGTCAGATGCCTTCTCCGCAAATACGGGTTCGCGATCCCATACCGGCAACGCACCATTTCGACGACTTCCTTTCAACTTTTGCGCCGCAAGCCTTCAGCCATTCAAGAACCCTGTCTGCACGCCTAATGGAACAATATTCGATGTCGAAGTCATATCGAAATGGCTGGAGAACCACAAGACGAACCCTGTCAACGGGGAGCCACTCGCGGCCCGCGACCTCATCAAGCTGAATTTTGCGCGTAATGCCGACGTCGATAGCAAGGGCGCCGATGGGCAGGCCAGCGATGGGAAAGGCGATTATATCGACCCGGTAACCTTCAAAGTCTTTACCGACAATACCCACATCGTCGCGATTCGCCATGGTACTTACGCGAATGCCTTCGCCTGGGACACGGTGGAAAAGATGAACATAAAAGCAAAGGTGTGGCAAGATCTGGTAGACAATGTCGACTTTGGTCGCTCGGACATCATCACCCTCCAGGATCCACAGAATGCGGCAAGCCGGGACCTGAGTCAATTCAAGTATCTAAAGGAAGGCGAGGACGCGCTCCTAACAAAAGAGCAGGAGCAAGAGAGGAAAGAAGGCAACGTGAACATCGACGCCTTGGGAAGAGTTGGCGACAAGGTATTAAGGGCGAAGGAAGCAGTCGAAAAGGCGAGGAGAGAACGTGAGGCTGGCGGAGACGTCAACCGGATGAACAAGACTCTTGCCAAAGCAACAGCAGCCAACGGCGCAAAGCCTTCTCTCATCCAAGAGAAGAAACCAGCTTATAATGCAGCTGCCTATACCACGGGAAGAGCCGCGGCAAGTTTCACAAGCACAGGCTTGACCCCTGAGACTACCGGCGAGCGGGCCATACTCACTGACGAAGAATACATGCTGAAGCCGAAAAGGGTCAAGATAAAAGGATACGTGCGCGTCGAGACCAACCTAGGCGACCTGAACATCGAGTTACATACCGAATACGCACCCCGGGCGGTCTGGAACTTTACACGGTTGGCACAGAAGGGGTACTACAAGGGCATCAACTTCCATCGGAATATCAAGAATTTCATGATTCAAGGCGGTGATCCCTCTGGTACGGGTCGAGGAGGTTCTAGCGTATGGGGAAAGAACTTTCAGGATGAATTCGACGGACCCTTGACACACGACTCCAGGGGCGTGCTCAGCATGGCCAACAAGGGAAAGAACACCAACTCGAGTCAATTCTTCATCACCTACCGGCCGGTGAAGCATCTTGACAGGAAGCATACCATCTTCGGAAAGGTGGTTGGGGGTACAGACGTCCTGACCAAGATGGAAGCCGTCCCGACAGATGGTTCGGACCGCCCTCTCAACAAGATCTTTATCAAGGACGTCATCGTGTATCTAGACCCGTTCGAGGAATTCCAGAGACAGAAGGCCGAGCGCGAGAAGACCGCCACGGCCAAGGCTGAGCTCCAGAGGACGGGTGGTACCGAAGACGACAAGATCACGTGGACCGGGAAGCGTGTAAGGCAAGACGGCACGGTCGATCAAGGAAGTGGCGGGGGCAATGTGGGCAAGTATCTCAAGGCGGCGAAGTTACAGCAGCCGAACGAGGACGAGATCATCGAGGAGGACGTGGATACATGGGAAGAACCTGTGAGGAAGAAGGTCAAGGCGGGTGGTTTCGGCAACTTCGATAATTGGTAGAAGCAACAGGACCGACAGCATTCCATGGCGTTAGGCGATACCCAAAACTAATTCAAGTTGATCGTTCATTCAGTATACGGATGGACGCAATACGTGCCGCTGTAGCACAATCCCTAGAGTGATGCTTGGAATACAATTGCGATCAAGGTGTACGTCTTGTCCTGGCACGGTATCAATAACCAGACTTGATACTTCGTTCAACTGAGCAAAATGCCATAAAACGACACAGGGTGGCAACTTCATGACTACAAATACCTCCATACCTAACCCGTGTCGAGTGAAGGAGAGGGCCGCAGGGCTAGAAAGCCGACAACAATACGCAACATCTCAGTCTACACAGGATCTGTTTAATGGCGATGGCTACCTAGGTAAGTAGAGGCTGGCATAAGCAGGTAGAGATATGGGTGTGATTATCGCCGTTGAATTGTCGAATTTAATCAACGTCGACTGCGACTGGCTTTACGTGTATGATCCAATACAATTCAGGGTACGGAGTATGTATGTATGTATGTATGACTTGGGATCTGCCTACTCTGCCACGTTCGCCACGCCGCCTCGCTTTTTATCGACGTCGATCTCGTTCTCGTTCTCGTTCTCGGCGAGGCCCTTGTGCGCCACGTCGCGGTCCCGGGAATAAGACATGACAAAATTCACAACATCTCTACTCCGTAGGAGTCACCGATTGTTATAAAAAAAAGGATTAAGCTGATAACTCCTAGGTAGTAGGTACTCCATAATAGTGTCTAATAATAATCAGTTTCAGCCGCGATACCACGTCCAGGGGTTGTCGTACCACGACTACGAATGTCGAATCCATAGATATTGCGTGAGACTTTTCTAATCCCTTCAGCTCTAAGGGGTTTCGAGCCCTCGGTAAAGTCTCCAAAGCGTAGCGCAATAGTCGATGTCGAGTCCTACCTACCTAGGTAGAAGAAGAAATTGTGTATCGTACCCTGTCCTCCGTCTACAAGCCGCATGCAGTTATGGGGCCAGCTAGAGAGAGAGGCGCAATTTCATAGGGCTGGGGCTAGCGATGTTGACGATGGCTGGCTTGACGAAAGGACTGACAGAGGATTGAGATGTCGCTAAAATACATCTTTGATAAAGTGCGGAAATACCTACGTAGGTACTACGTACTCGTCCATCGGCAGAGTCCTTCATTTGGATCTCCTCCTTCCCTCGTAAACGGAGAACCAATTGGTACTGGCAGCGGCGTAACCTTACCTAGTGACTACTGCTAGAACTGAGCCTCTTCAAGTTCCCAGGGTCTCTCGGCTACGCCAGACTAAAAGCTTGTTCGGGTCCAATGTGACGCTGACCGTTGACGAGAACGAAAATTAAAGGGGATAGAGAAGGGGGTCCCCTTGAGAGAGCCAAGTTGACCAAGTGTGGAGAGCCTCACACCCCAGCACCCAGGGCTCGCAGGCTCGGCTACTTTTTGGTGACACCCTAGACACCTGAGCCCCCTGCCCCACGCCTAGAGAAAGTGATTGGACGATAACCGGTAGAACGAGAACGACGATCCTTGAAAGAGGTTGGCTTGTGTAGCCCAGGTTGACAATCATACTTTCCTAGGTACGAAGTACTGAAGAAAGAAGAAGAAGGACCAAGTGATTACCTACCTGAGTACAAGCAGATAGTTAGGTCAACGAATCAAGTGTGCAGTACGCAGCCCGTCAGCACGCACTCCAAGAAGCACACCAAGCCCGCCAATCTGGCTCCAGATGATAGCCCTGGAGTGGATATCGTGCCGCCTTGGCGAAGCTTAAGTATTACATCCTTGGGAACTTCTGCAGCGTGGGCGTGGCTTGGCTGGCGTGGACCTCCTCTCTAACCCATTGGAACTTATTAAAGTGAGTTGCCGGCACGACCAATGACGACCCCAGCACCCACCTCAGCTCGGATTCGTCTGCGTTTTTCCCTTTCGAGAACTCGCTAAGCCTAGGACGCCGGCCCCTCGAGTCTCGAGAGGCATCCCTTGTGCATGCTTGCCATACCTGCATACCTATGGGCATGTGCCATGGTACTTGGCTCGAGTAGAATTGCCGTAGGATTCAAGTGGGTGGTGATCAGATCATGTCCGACATGGATATGCTACCTCACGTACGTAGTAGGAATATAATATAAGAAGCCTGGTAAGTCAGCCAGCTTTGGTCTGTTTGGTCCTGAGTTCGAATTCCTGTCTACCATCATAACCATCCCACTATATATCAACCAGGCAGACTGCCTCCCAGTACGCTATATCCAAGAGCAGGGGAGTCTTTCTCGGAAGGGACACAACACACAACTCCATCGAATACTATTTCAACCCTCACTTGCTTCGTCTTAAAACCACCTAGGTATACTCTCTCATCTCATGGCCTTAACGGAACAGAACAACATCTCGATAGCCGAGATCGTCATCTACACGCCCGCCCTCCTCATAGGGATATGGCTGTCAGTCCGCCACGGCTTTGGCCGTAACGCCGGCTGGCTCTACCTGATCATCTTCTCCCTCGCCCGCATCATCGGTCCCGCTATGGAGCTCGCCACCATCAACGACCCGCGCAACCTCAGCCTCTACATCGGCGCCGCCACCCTGCGCAACGTCGCCGTGTCGCCCCTGATCCTCATCAACGTCGGCCTGCTGAGCCGCGCTCTCGAGAGCATCCGCAAGTCCACCAACACGACCCAGCTCAACGCCCATTACCTGCGTCTGATCCAGCTCGTCGTCCTGGTCGGCCTGATCCTCGGGTCCATCGGCGGCAGCAACTCCGGCCACGCGTATGCGGACACGGGGGCCTGGACCGTGAACAAGCTAT